CCCAACCCTGAAGCAGGAGAAACCTATCGACACAAGGAGTTGTTGGGCAAAAGTCAGCACGTCTCGCAGATACCGCTTGTTTTTACTGAAATGTATTTAGATTCTTCCTGACTCCTGGGCATGTCGACTGTTCGTCCTAACTGTAGTGGTTGAGACCGCAGTGGATCTGGCCATTGAGGGCGACTTGCTTGTTCGATTGCAGGATGGCTCAGGGAAACTGGCCGTGTATCTCAGCGTATTTGCACTTGCCCAGTACGTGTTTGAACATTTTTAAATATCTTAATTTGACGCGATCATACAATTCAGCATCTTCCAACTTGTCATGGCGGTCGATGCGGTGTATGCTCGCAATACCCTGCAATTTTTGTCTCTCATGTGAGGACACATTTTACTTATTGCTAATAATAGCATATTTCTGACACTTGGTTTACAGCATATTCAACCTTCTTTTCCTGCTATATGCTGTTATTGAAATCGGTGAAATCAAAAACTCATCAACCACTTCTGCCGGGATTCTGCATGTACCAGTGAATGTTCTCACTGATATCATACCTGCCGTCATATCCACTGCGGAGATAGCATACATTGGTCTCGGTTGGAAAATCTATAACGAGTTCGGCTGGAAGGTGTACAAGTTTCTGGGTGCCGACCGTCGCATCAAGAAAATGTATGCCACATATCAGATCTTCGAATGTCTTGTCAAGTTCGACGTCTTCTTTTGGGTCGGCTTCTCCGTGCAATTCATATGGTTGGTCCTTCAGAAGGACGATTGGGAGTACTACGTCACCTGGGCTGCTCTCCCGTTATCAATTCTCCTCCTCATCGAAGGCCACCTTGCTGCGCGGTACGAGAACAAGTGGATGATGGGAACGTTTATGTTTGGAAGTGTTGGCGCCCTTGTCTACTTCACATACAAAGTAAACTCTTTAGTAAACTTTCTGCGCAGAGTTTGTTTGCTCATCACGATTCAGCTTTTCCGGGTTCTTCAATACAGGGATGGGGAATTTGCCCCGTACTGGAAATCACTTTCCACGTTTTGTAAGTCCTTTGATATATAATGTTTTCTAGCAGCTCACAATAATGGCAGCTGCAATTGCAATTGTCCTTCTCGTCATCACGATCATCTTTTCTGTCATGGTGATGCGCAATTTCGGTCGGGGACTAAAGGCATCGAGTTAGTGTTTTCTTCTTCCTAGCTTTTTTGACCTGATGTGATGTGTGGCAGTTGCAAGAAACAAAACTCACATACAGGGAAGGGGCTCCCAACACTTAAACCGAGGGCCGATGAGCGCGAACCCAAATCGGATGAGTATCGAATGAAAGCGCGCGTACGTCACAGCCACGGACTTGCTTGTATTCTATAGCGCTATTTGCCACTCGTCCGATTTGACACACCAGCCTCACCTCGCCCCAACCAAGATCACATTTGCATTGACATCACCATCTTCGCATTGCCATGCTCCGCGTTCTTTAATTTCTTGATTTATAGGTATATAACGTATTTACGAATATGTTTGCACTCATGCCAGTAACATGCAACGCTCTCCAATCTGGATCTGGAGGCTTTGTGTGTCTTCTGGTATACTTTTTTACCCTCCCTCGGAGTTGCCTGTGCTTTGTGGATATTTTCATGTATCGATGATATTATAATAGATACGGATTTTATATACCACAAGCTTGGGTGTGACGTGGAAGGTGCACTGTACTCCATTAATCATTTTTGTCAATTGTATCCGTATACAAATCGGAGTCGCCGCCTTCAGCCTCGGCTGTGTTGAGTCGAAGGGCTTTTAATAATATTGTCATTCTCTTTTGAATTCACCCGTTGGTCGGGAATTGTGGAGCTGCAACTGGTTTTATACACACCACCATATGTCCCAAAGGTAAGTCACTGCCGGGAGTTACTTTGCGCTGCTCATTCATTGATGGTTCAGATACAGAGCAACAAATACAGCACTACGAGACCGTTCGGCTCTCTTGGGCGTGACACCTCCAGCTTCAGGGCGCTCATCACCGTATAGCAGCCCAAACCCAGGGCCCTCTGGTCACCGCTACGTGGACGACTTGGAAGGTCAGAATGACGAGGCGTTAGAAGGCCTGGCAGCCAAGGTCAAACTGCTCAAGGACGTAAGTGGTACTTCCTGTCTCGATCGCCCATCAAACTCTTCATTTTCATACAAAGATCACCGTTGGCATTGGAAACGAGGTCCGAGAATCAACTGTGCAACTCAGTCAGATGGTACGTGCACGCTGTTACTTATAATCAGCTCCCTACTTATCATGTGCTCGCCAGAATGACGCATTTGCAGAGACCTCAGGCATCCTAGCTGGCACGTTCCGTCGGATGAACAACATGGCGCAGCGGCAGGGTTGTCGATGGCTATGGTATATCCTATTTCTCGTACTTGTATTCTGGTTCTTTATCATTGTATGGTGGTTTCGGCGATGACAGTCACCCACTACGGACATTCATCGATATCTTTGGATCAATCGCTTGCTCAGTGGGCCTTTTTCGTCATTCAAGTCACGCCATTTCCGTATTCACAGTAAATGCTAATACAGAGTATCATAAAACCATGTCAAAAGAGTAATGCGTAGAAGCCCGTTATCACGGGCCGTCCAGGAACTTGGCATGGCCAATTTCCCAAATCATCCGCCGTCGCAAGTAGGCCATGTCCCGCTGCGAGAAATGGAATTCTTCCTCCCCTCTCGATAAGGATTCCAAGAATTGGCATGTGAACACGCCACAGTCATAACCATTCTCCTGTTGTGGTGTGTCCTCAGGATTGTGATTCTGCCACCCAGTGAAGTCAAAAGGTTTCTTTCGCTTGTTTCTGTGTTCCGAGTCCAGATAACTCCGCAGGACCTTGACGGATAACATAAGGACCTTCCTGGGCACGTCAAGGTAGGCTAACGTACCTTAAAGACTTGATGTCGGTCAAGATTCATGCTGTCATACGACTCTATCCGCTTTCGACGGAAGTTTATAGCAGCCCCGGTCCAGTGAGAATTGTTGTGGTTAATAGGAATGAGGATGGCGTCTTTCGAAAAGATATCAATCTATATGCGGAATGAGAAATGCATCAGTTTTATTAGGTAGTAACGGACCTTTTTTGTCCATTTCGCTAGCCGCCCCTGCTCATAGCCCTCATTTTTCAACTTGGGCCAAAAGAAGGTACTGAAATAGTGGACATCCAGTATCTTTCTCTTTGCAGTGGGGTCGCGGTTGGACTCCGAACGCGTCAAGATCATCGCACCATAGAAGTTCATGATTTCGTCATTCAACCATTGACTGGGCAGTAATCGGGATAGATCCCGATCATTAACAGATTCTCGAGCAACCTTGGAAATGACTCCTTTCTTGCACAGGAGCGTGTTAACTTGTGTGTCAGCGTCAGGAGGCAGAACCTTGGGTAACTTTGGCCGCAGACGCTTCTCGATGGCCTCATCCCTATGGCGCGCTGACAAACGAAGACGATCATGCGAGGGGGAGAACGGTTTAGGTGGTGGACTGTTCAAAATCAACTCAGTGAGGAAAACATATGCAAAAAGATACGCTCATACAGTTCAAATGACTTCTTGGCCTTTCTAAGTGCACGTTCTAGAAAATCGGGATCAACATCCTGGCATAATTTTTAGCGTAGTAACAAACGAAGTATGCATATGCTCACATCTGAGAACGAATGCCTACGGGAGCGCCCAGGTAATGGTTGCTTTGCGCGTAGATCTGTCAGTGATGGTGAAGCTACGTGCAGCGTCATAAGTGTGCTACACTGAAGTCATAAGAATCACGTACGCGAAAGTGCATGTCGTTCAAGGATTTCAAGTCGAGCTTGGTAATTAATCAAAGCTAATATTCATACTAATTAGATGCAGACGTAGACAAGACAAATGGACGCACATTTAAAAGAGTCAAAATCTGAGGTATATCCTAATCAGAGTGAGAGATGGAGCATCAAGAAAAGTACTAGTGCGCTGACCAGTGGAACGTTTGTAATGGAAGAGTTCTTGTACCAGTTCTTCGCGGTCTTTTTTCCGATCTTCTTGTACTTTGGCTTTGTGCTACGACATTGGTTGATAGTGAGATATAGGAACCGGTTGGCATTATCTATACACTTACAACCCGAGCGTATATATGATCTCGGCTCCGTCGATGGCGAATACCACCCACCACTGCTCGCCCGTGCGCAGAACATCCTATGAAGTCATACGAATGGCTCGGTTGAATGTGTCCCTTCGATGTCGAGGGAACCGGAGGTGTGACTGAGGTGTGTCCGGTGAGGGTTGAGGGAGGTGAGTTTCCGTTTCCATTGAGTGCATTCGAGGATTCTGAACACGATGGTAAAGAAGATGAAAGTTGCGAGTGGCCTGTCACTGGTTGTGAGTCTTTGGGTTTATGGAACTCTTCTGGTATAGGCAGACGAGGTAGCGAAGCTGGGTAGGTAGTTTGTGAAGGTAAAGAGCCGTTTTGATTAGGTTTTTCGGACTGTTGAGACACAGCTTGAGATACACCTGGTTTTCGAGAGGCTTTGAACACGTTGTCAGTGAACGATCGTGTCTGGCAATAGAACTCATCTCACAGTTCATGAAGGACAGGTATCCGAGGCGGACCGTTTCGTAACCAAGTGTGAATGCGTCAGTTCCAAGTTGACGCCAACGCTGCCAAATGCCCTGGTTCTCTTCTGTGCGTTGGTATTTAGCAGAACGCACTGGGAGTAGAGAATCTGAGGCCTGTCTCTTCCGACTGGTCATCCGAGCAAATGCTGAGGATAGAAGGGAGATATTTTGAAAGACTTGTGGCACAAAGCCAGCTCGAGGCTGAGCTCAATGAATGGCCGCGAGGACAGACTCGTCAAAGCAACGTGTTATTGACGGTGGTTGTGTGCAATCACGATCAAGACTAAGTTGTAAAGCCCTGTCAAGCTTCACTCAAAGCACAGCGCAACTTTCTCAAGCCGTTTGATTATATAATCATAATCGAATTCTAATTTTAATTATGGGCTCGCTTGGCTCAGTTGGTTAGAGCGCAGGTCTCATAAATGTCGTATGACGAGTGTTTACTCGGTAATCCTGAGGTCGCAAGTTCGAACCTTGCAGCGAGCATTCTCTTTTTTTTGCCCTCATCGAGTATCGGATATCTACGTACGCGTGACGTGGACGTGCAGATTCGGAAATTAGGCTTGCCAGCTCTAATTTAGACTCTAAGGTTGTTTCTCACCGATCTTCTTTGAGTACACCCAAATTCAAAGCCTTTCAAATCAAGGACCAGAACCCTGCGGAGGCACTTTGAGATGCCAGCCTTTCTCCCCCTATTGGATTTGGATTCTGAGTCATCGTATCAGAATGTTGGCATGTATGGCTCCACTATGAGTTCCGTCTCCTTCACAAATCACTGGACACAGCAAGTGCTCGCGTAGGCGTAGGGATACAAGAATCAATCGCTGGTGTTTCTAATCACTCACTCGAAGTTTTCTCCTCCGTATAACCTCGTGCAAGTTCCCCGTTCTACGCATTACTGGGAGATATTCATGGTGCGTCTGACTGCTATAGCCGCATGTGTTAAATCTCATATCGAGTTATGCTCCAGGCTAGTTGCCATGGCGCGGCGACAGTCTACTGGATTGTTGTAGAACATCACTTTCAAAACTCATGTCCGTTGTTACTTGATCATACGTACGAAGGCTCTATTATCGTGTGCACATATCGACACAGGTGCAGCAAAATTAAAAATGACCTTTTATTGTAATGAATGAAGTGTGTACGTGGTGTTCGGAACACTGAAAGAGGCGATCTGTAGCGGAGTAAACCTTATTACTTCCGATGGGGTCACGTAATTTCTCGCTATTAAAAATATATGTTGCTTACCATTTTCAAGGCCTAACACATCGGTGAGACGGTCTTGAACCCTGTTAAATATTCGTCTGTACTGAACTTGCACTGTTTCTGTCTCTTTTGCTCCAGCCCTCTTTCGAGTCAACCTCTACGCCGCACTGCCTCGGTCTCAGAAACCTGGGTGTTCCAAGTTGGCCCATATTAGCAGTCACCAAAATGCAAAATGATATAATCGAACTCAGTGATTCGGACAGTAATACTAATAGCAAAATTGTCCGCCCAGTGAAGAAGGAGTCCACAGAAATATTACATGGCAATTCTAAGGTAGCTACCCTCAAGGCAAAGCTGGCAGCCCAAAACAAGCTCGTCGCGGAACAGGACAAGGAGTTAAATAAACTCCGCAAGGAAAACAAGCAGTTCAAGAATGAACGAAATATTCAAATGGCCGAGGTCACGGGCCTTCAAGATGAGTTGAAGAATATCTTGCGGCAACTCGACGACGAAACGGTTCGTGTATAGCAAGCCATTCACTCAAATACTAGATACTTATATCATGTCTTCAAAAGGTCAAAAATCTCAATTTAAATATGATTAAGTTGAATAGCTTGAAGTCGGATGTTGTATCGCCTGTGCGCGAGTATTTTTTCACTTTAGTTTTGATACTGACTTTTGCGGGCAGCCAAATGGGACTGACATTAAAGCTGGGCGGCATCAGGACATTGACCAAGATATGTCTGACAGCTTCGTATCTAACCTTCCTACACCTGCAGATGAGCCTCCAAATGCAGCGTCCTTGCAGTCACAAACTCCCGGTGCTTCCGGATCTGCTAGGCTTACTGCCGTCAAACCAGAGCCGGAAGGCGCGAAAATTGCTGTTGTTATTAAATCCGAACTCGAACACGAACCAGACCTGAACACTCATGTTACGTTTGTCAAGAGCGAGGATGGGAAGTTCGACATCTGGAATCTTGAGCACCTTCGTCTCGGACCTCCAGTTGTCGTAGAAAAGAGATTTCACGTCGGGTTCAGGCGTGCTGTAATTAGCAACGTAAGCTTGAAATTCCTCCACCTATCAGATTAAACTAACTCCTGATGTCACTTCAGGCTCTTGGCGGCAATTGGCAAAGTACATTCGTCAACTGGCAAGGTCCGACTAGCAAATCGAATAGGTACCCCTAGTGCGTATCCAGAGTTTACTTAACCTACCGCTACTGAAGCGAACACCACAGTATGGCCCTCAAACGATCCTGGAATCCGCATCTCCCGCTCAATCCGGGAGAGCACGGTGTCGTATTTTGTGGGGTAGGACGTTTCGAAGATGGTATGCTCATTACTGGATCAGTCGACGTTGTCATATCCGGCAAACCAAATGAATGGGTGTACTTTGGTTCGTACGAGACCTGTCGGTCAGGTGAGATCACACCTCACCAACTTCACCTGCTCCCTCCTCTGGTCGTGCGAACTTGGGTGGAGGGAACTATGAAGTCCCAGTGGGGAAAAAATTGGGTCGAAAACACGAATGCCGAACTTGTAGACAAAGGAGGTGAAATTCGACTCATTGAGCTTACGACACAAGGTCTTCGGGAAGCACTCAGTGATGGAAGGCTCGTGATCGGCTTCACCGTTATGAAATGCGTTGGATTTCGTGTAGAGTGGTTCGATCAGTTCTTGCATTACCAAGCATACCCGAAGCCGATAACACAGAAAAGGAAGAAAGGGAGCTCAGGAGCCAAAAAACCTTCGGCAAAAAGGGTGAAAGGGAGCACGCGCCGGAAAGAGGTGTCATCCGAAAGTGACAGCGAAGTGGAATCCCAAACCACACTACCCGGCAGTGATGAAGACAAGTTTTCTAATGCGGAGGATGGGGTGAATTCACGCCTGGATTCAGCCTCGCTGGGCGCGAGGAAGAGTATTCGCATTTCCGGAAAATTAGTTAAAGCGGCAGCTAGCTCTAGCCAGTCGTAGTTATCGGACCGCATCGTCTCTAACTCTGCAGCTACTCGAGGTCGATCGATACTTTACTCTCCGCAAACTTTTGAGATTGATATATTTACTACATAGTCAAACACTTACCGTATAATACTTATACATGTACCACACTCAAGGAGCTATTACAGCCAACGAGGCCTACATTGGAAGAAAGAGGGAGCGAAAGTGACTGCGAATCCTCCCAAAGTTCGAACGAGGGAACCTAGGATGTCAAGCTGGTCACCGCGCCATAATTATGCTCCCTTCTATTATAGCAGATGGAGTGCGTTCCACAGTCAGAAGTGCAACTTCGAGTACAGAGCAGTCATCAACAATACCTTGGTCTTACCCTCACGGAACAATAACTTCATCCGGACCTCGAAAAACTGGGTTATAGAACTGCGGCAGACATCAGCAGACCCCACTCTCTCTGCAGTAAAGCATGGCTTACGCATACCGTATTAGTATGGTCCGCAAGTCATCAAGCATACCTAGTAATTTCATCGCATGATAGTATTGAGACCACAAATTCTGCTCCAGCGATTACATTGCGTGAGTAATATTCCTGAGCTTATTACAATACGAGAACCTGCTACTGAAGCCTGGTGACTCTAGTCCAAGACAATTGTGTCACCCGTCTTGACGCATCCGGTACTTATAATGTCACAGACAGCTGTCCCAAACGTATGGGATGGGAATATATACTGCCGCAGCCAAAGGATATTAGTTAGTACATGCTTGTTCAACAGGTGCAAAGGGCCGTACCACCTCAAGCAGCCGTAAATGAATATCGGTGTCCGCTTCGCTAAATATTTAATTTAGGCACAAATAATTGGTCTACCGTCCTCAACTCATAATTGCATAAGTTGCCGACGTTCAAACATTGAAGTTGTTCTCAAGAGATATTGCACTGCACCTGGGCCACTACATGATCAAGATGGTCACGTGGCATGCAGCGAATTTCTAGCCTTAGTTGGGGTTGTCAAGTCAAAACAGTGTTCTTGCCATCTCATAGACTAACAACTCCCTACCAAGTGCAACAGATTTCCTCTGACTCTTCAATTTCGGAGGGGGCATCACATGATAATTGATGAGTTCAAACCCGTCCCTTCGTGATCTCTACAACCCTCCCTCATCCGCATGGGCATTCGTTCCTCCTCCACCTCCTATGCAGAACGCAAGCGCACCCGCACCTGCAGGCTCTGCAACGACCAGCTATGAATGGACTACTCGTCCTGCGCATAACTCGATTTTTGATTTGTCTCCTTCACTAGATCTTAGCGAACCTTCTAGCCTTGATGTGCCTCTGCTACTGCGTTCTTTAGTCGCTTCAGCATTGCTTCAGTACACAAGTACGGCACTTGTGATGCCATTGGAAGTAGGAAAACTACTTCTTCAAATTCAGTGGATTCCCAGGGATACTCCAGCGCCATCTAGCGAGGTACACGAGGAGGAGGAAGAGGAAGAAACGGTAGGTGGGCATATAAAATGTACAATTTATATCATTGTAAGTTTCATATTAGCTTAGCGACTCTACAAACGAGGACGAGTCCTACTTCGCGGACCCCGCTGCTTCACACACAAAGTATCCCGCACCAAAGCCCGTTGACGATCAGGGTTATGTAATCAGGACGTCTGTGCTGGAAGACGGAACGCGCCCCGAATATATCATTCCTGTGGGTAGTATGAATGGCACTTGGGATATGGTGAAACGTGTCGCTGTCTTCCGTGGAGAAGGCTGGCTTTCGTTATGGAAAGGTGAATTGTTATCCTCTAGCAGTGTTCGTATTCTCACCTCAGTTATTATGCGCAGGGCTATTGACATCCTGCATTCACGACGTGCTTTTCAGTAATGTTCAACCCCTCGTCGACAGTCTTATGCACTCCGTGTTCTTGTCGTCAGCTGCTGGGCTGTATCGCCCACCACTTCTTTTGCCGGTAGTATCGCATGTCATCACTGGCTTTCTGCTCTCGCCTCTGGATCTCGTTCGGACACGTTTAATTGCCCAATCAGCGATGCAACGCCACCGGACGTACACTGGGCCATTTGATGCACTAAGACAGATAATAGTCCAAGAGGGCGGTATCAGAAGCATTTATTTTCATCCGCAACTCCTTATCCCTACTATTCTGGATAATGGCCTACGTCCTCTATTGCACATCCTCATGCCTACGCTTATCGCTCCTCGACTGGGTTTCGGCCCACATGTCGCTCCAGATACCAATCCTGTTGCATGGGCTTTTGCTCAAGTGCTAGGATCTGTGGCAAGTCTTCTTATCACATTACCCATCGAGACTGTGCG